TATTTGAGGTTTTGAGATACTGAGACATTGTTGACAGAAATTTCATTTATTGGGAAGACATTGAAATAAACTCATTTAACATCACAAGAATTGAGAATGTATAAAGAAGTTGCTAATTTATTAATGAAAATGAACACAACTAACATAAATGAATAAGGACTTGAAGAGTGGTATATAGAAAGTAATGTAATGGAGTAACATGTATATAGAAGTATATACATGTCACTTTATTCCTGTGGATAATATAAATAAAACTCTCACTGAAAAGCATAACAAATATATTGCAATTTGTTCAATGACTAAGTATTCACAAAATGGTGGAGGCAATTAAATTCTCACACAGTTGTTAGGGAACTGTAAAATCATTCTGAAGCCTGCCTCTATTCATAATAGTCCTGAGCATAATGCCAAAAATACAGCAGTTTAATTCTTGATAAACAGAAGTCAGTGAATACTCCACTTTGTTCCAAAAGGTCAATGAACAAAGAGGCATATCATAAATCTGTAATTGGATTATAAAGTTGATTCTCCACTCATTGTTTCGTGCAGTTAACAGAAAACACAATCACATGAAAGAAGAATAAAAACTAGTGTAGCTTAAACTGTTATTTTAAAAATCATACAATTTGTAATAGCACACAGACATCACAAAGAACTAGATTGGGTCTTGGGACAGGGTGAAGGGATTTCAGGGATGAAAGAATATATGTATCTTGTGGACTCAGCTCTGTCACCCTGAATGCACAGAGAATATATGTATCTTGTGGACTCAGCTCTGACACCCTGAATGCACAGCATGCTTCAGTATTTAAAATTTTATTCCAGACTCCACAAATATTTTATGACCCGTCCCATGGGTCCAGTTATTCAGGGTTCCTGAAAGAGTCATGGGTGAGAGAAGGGAAGAAGACCAAGCAGCGCAAGAAAAGGACCAGAGTCCATCTGTGCAGTGTCAAGGTCTCCGTTTATTGGGGCTATAGAGTGGGCTTATATAGCCCTGCAACAAGGAAAGTGGATAAGCAGGGGGAATAACAGGAAGGAACATCTGGTGTATGCTGTGGCTGGAGCATTCTTCTTATCAGCCGGAACATCTTGTGGTCTTCTCCAGAACAGTGAACAGGAAAGCTCCACAGCCCTTTCTTGGAACAGAAGCTGTTAGCAGGTCCGCTTGGCCAAACCATCTAATTACAGGTTACAGGAGGCTCACAGAGCTGGCTTTCAGCTGCAAACTTAAAGGTCACAAAAAGGCTTACAAAAGGTGTGCTTTAATCCGTATAGTTTTGGGCCCATGGCCCTTTGCCTTTTTTTTTTTCATTTTTTAAAAAGGTAGTTTGTGACTTTTTTCTCCAGTAACATGACTTTAAAAAATGTTAGGATTCAATTTCCAACATAGAGAAAATATTTGGGTAATTCTTCTGTGATGACTAAATTCTTCATCGCAATGTTGTCAACCTCCATCCACACAAACAAGTTCTTTTCATGCATCATTTATTTAAATTTTTACTTGTGGCCCTATTTTGTGTGCCTTTATCTTTTGAACTTATTATTAGGCCCTGTTGAACCCACCTGTAGAAAGAATAGGGCTGACCTATGTTATTCCTACCTCCTAACCCATCAGTAGCCTCTAGTTCATAAATGAAGTGTACAATCCCATGAGACACATGCTCTTCAGTAACATCCAGCAGAAACAAAGTTGTTATTTTATGCCAGTATAAGAAAATATGCTACTTGTGAATAACTATCCAAAAAAACTTAAGATTTTTAAAACACAAGGTATTGGAAAAACACAGTCGATTCAAAATCACCCTGGTACCTGAAGTGAGTCACTTGAAACACACACACACACACACACACACACACACACACACACACACACACAGAAAGAGGCAGAGACAAAGACATAGAGACAGCAGCAGAGGCAAAACCAGAGACAGAGAAAGACACATGAAGATTAAACAAGAAGTGCAGAGACATCTTTTTCTGGGATCGCTGAATTTTATTGCAATTCTGGAAAAGCCTGTTGAGATTTCTTAATTTTGAAAATTATATATGTATATTTTGACTCTAAACAGCTCCTTGGAATATGCCTTAATGATTTAATATACTATTTCATAGATAGTTTGTCTTTTATGTTCCTTGATACTCTATTCACAAAAGCTGGGAAAGGCACAATATTAATATTCTATGCCTGTTTAATGAACACTAAGATAGGAAATCTATAAAATGTTATTATATGGTAAAGAAAAATGAAGTCATGATATTTGCAGGTAAATGAAAGGTACTATTAGAAGATCCAACTGAGTATTATAACCAAGCCCTTAAGGATCAAAAAGACAAATGTGACATGATATATCTCTTCTGTTATTCCTGAATATTTCATCTGAATATTCAGATGAAAGTTTAGGACTCACTTGAGAGCTTATAACTCATATGCACTTAACAACAGTAAACATAATGAACATACAAAATTCAATAAAATGAAGGGGGTGCATATTGGAGTGTTGAGGGAAGAAATAGATGTGAGGAATAATGTAATTATGTTATATATAAAAATAGACACAATAATTAGATAAAAATTGTAAAAATTGTCATGAAAGACAAACTAATGCTTTATAATGGTGCAGTTATTAAACATGGGTTTTAAAAACATACAACAGCCTGCGCTTGGGTCCACAAGATGGTGGCATCCAAGAAGAAAGCTGGAGCTTGCGGCCATGAGGGGAGCACACCCAGCCCACCGAGTTATTCAGCTATTCCTGTCAAGTTCACCAAACAGCAGCAGGCTTCCCATTACCTGTATGTGAGTCAGCACAGAGTTCGAGGAGACACTCAATCCATGTGGCCTCCCAATAAGACCCTTTTTGTCCTCAATGTGCCCCCGTACTGCACAAAGGAATGCCTGTCCCGACTTCTGCCTCCTGTGGCACCATCAAGACAGTCGACTTGAAAGAGAAGCCTGACCATGCTGAGAGCACTAAAGATCCAGAGTTTTTTCACCCGAAGCTCATTCCGGGCTTTCAGAGCAGTGGGCCTCTAGGCAACCGTGCATCCTGCTGCTGCAGAGCGCTGCCCATCAACAGTCTCTTCCATGCAGGAGGAGACCAAGGCCAAGGAGGAGGAAGGTGTTCCTGATGAGGAGGGCTGGGTGAAGGTGACCCGCAGGGGCCACAGGCCTGTGCTCCCTCAAACAGAAGCATCCAGCCTGCGTGTTCTCAAGAGGGAGAAAAGGAAACGTGCACGCAAGGAGCTGCTCAACTTCTATGCCTGGCAGCACCGAGAGACCAAGATGGAGCATCTGGCACAGCTGCGCAAGAAGTTTGAGGAGGACAAGCAGAGGATTGAACTGATGCGTACCCAATGCAAATCCTGACCCTACTGAGCTGTTCTGGTCCCTGGAGAGCAGGCTTTGAAAACACAGGACCAACAGGACTGCTCCCTCAGGGACTGTGATTTGGGAAGCAGACACCAGGCCAAGAAGCTGCTGCTTTGTCTCCAGCTCCATCTCTGTACCCACTGGCTGGAAGTGCCCTTGCACAGGAGGATGTGGCCTTCGGAGAGCTGGCTTTTCCTTCTCCAGCCTGTAAAAACACCTGGGAAACCTGACTCTCTCCTCCTGCCCTTTGCACTCTATGAAGACCCTGCCCACAACAGAGTCATTTGCAATGCAGTGAAGATAGGAGAGGATTTTATTGCCACACAGACTGCTACCAGGACCAGTTCAAGACCCTTTCGCAGTCCTGCTACCCCATCTCCATGAGCTCCCATGTCCCCTTCTTGAAGTCAGATACTAAAGGTCAGAAACATATCCCCATGCCCCTAGCTCTGCCACAGTAGTCTCTGCTGCCCCTCTTGGTGTTCGATACCAGTGAGACCCACCCCACATTTAGTGGGCTGAGGGTGCTGGATTGGAACTGTGAACAAGCTCGAAGGCCAGAGCTACAACCTCGAAGCAGTCCTGGGTTAGCTCTTGACGAAGGGGCTGACAATTCCAGCCACGAGTTGGTGGATGTTAATGTAGATGTAGTGATTGCCTGGGATTTCCACATACTGGAACCGCTGGAGAAAGGGGCAGGTGGTGAGATATTGTCTTTCCAATCAGGAGACTCCCATAGCTGACTGCCTCCATGTGGGTCAGAGACAACCCTCTTCCCAGCAGCCTGCGGACTTGGAGGCTGTTCCAGGAATATAGGCATTTGAGCTGTGAGACTACAGTGCTAAACTGGGGCAGTTACAGTCAGGGTCCTTGCCAGTTTTGATGGACATGAAGCACTGTCATCTCCATGAAAGGCAGGGTTCAGGACAGCTCCCACTGCAGAGCACCCCAAATAGGAGAACCCCCTTCCTGGTAGTGTGCCTGGGTTGTGTGCAAAGGATACAGGCCTTGGAGATTTAAGTGGATGATGACCATAGAGAGCCAGGGCCTACACTGGCTCCTCGTTCCAGCACAGGCTCCCCCTGCTCAGTAGCCATCACACTTGCCAATGTCCTGGTTCCAGGATCAGTGGAGGCGAGTGCAGGGCTGCTTCTAAGGGCTGGGCCCTAAGTAATCCTGGCAAGGAGTCAGTTGAGGACAATAAAACTGAGGATCTGCCAAAAAACTAAGGATCCGCCAACCAAAAAAAAATACAACAGTGCTATGTGTTGGTTATTCCACATGTTAAATTAGAAAGAACCATAGAATAAACAAGTACTGCAGAGCCCTGATATTAACCTTGTTTCTTCCCAAAACTCTATGACAAGTTCCTATGTCTATGAACAACATATACCTGGGTTTTACTTGTGAAGAAGTCATCAAGGCAAGGATAGTCCTTGTTCTATGAAAAGTAAAGGATTACTTACAGCTTGAATATAGATCTCATTTGTACAAGTGCACAGTATTTCTGACCATCAGTATTTTATAGAGTGTTTCATTTGATTTTTTAGTCAATGGTATCTGTATGTATTACCAGTGGACATCTAATAGCATTTTCTATTACTTATACAGTTATTTTTAATGATATCTCTTATATGTCTGTGACATTGATAGTAAATTCAAGGTACTGGAAGAATAATGTAGTCAATAAATGGAAAGGTTTAAAAATATGTTAAGACATATCCACATCCTTATAGGAAATCTTAAGTTTTAACGTCTTATCTTCCAAGATTCTGATTATTCATTGCACAGTTGTAAATTCCTTTAACTGCACTTATATTACGCTGAGGCTTGAAACTGATTTCAACATGCATGTCACATTTGTTAGTGAATCATATATTACATATGCATATACATTGTGTGACCTTTGCATACTGGTATACTCCTGGATGCAAAATTATTTTCTGCAAATGATCTCTCTCTGGGAAATCCTTTCCTTCTGAAGGAATATTGCATCGTTCCAAAATAACCTGACCTTAAGAATAAGCTTATTTGTTTAGGGTATGAGATCATACAGCATTCAGCAGTTCCAAATAAAAAATAACGGAAAGACCTAAGTTCATGTAATACAAAACAATTGGTTGATTCCACTACACTCCCTATAACTAGCTTTATAAAACACTGTGTCAATTCAGTTCCTTCAAAACTAATAACCTAATTTTACCTTCTGCAGAAGATCAAGGCAGGCACCACCATGGCAAAGATACTGCTTCTGGCTTTGGCAGTTGGTCTGGCTCATGCTCTTAATGAGGTAAATAAATTTGGTCTAGCATGTCTGAGGTTCCTCAATAGCAAATGCGGCAAAACCATGAGCAATTCCCCAAGGTCCCAGGTCTAAAATGCTTTGTTAATTGAGTCATCATAGTACCCTGTGTTATTCTACTTTCCTAAAATTATAATCATGTACTAATGAAAATATTATTGATTCATATTTCCAGTAATTTTACTTATTTCCAAGGACTGGGATCAGAGAAGCAAATGCCACTTCCCATCCCAATGCCTGTGCTTATCTTCTCTTTGTCTTTGTTGTTTTACAGCTTGAAGGAGACTGGGTTAGCATTGCCATAGCTGCTGACAATGTTGAGAAGATAGAGAACCAGGGAACTATGAGACTTTATGGTCGTCAAATTACTTTTCATGAGGAATGTGATAAATTGGAAATAACATTTAATGTAAAGTAAGCAAATTGTCAACCATCTAACCTGCGCAGAATATTTGCATTTCTCAGTATTCATGATTAGAAATTTACAGGAAAATTTTCTGTTTCTGATCAAAATCTTTAAGGCCTCATCTTTAGGAATGTGATCATATTATTTAATGATATGGTTACTTTTAGACACCACACATAGGTTAGTCACTGTCTCCAATTCCATGGGTGTTTCTTAGAAATCTTTGTAATTGGAAACCCATGTTTGAATTTTGTGCTCTGATATTAGATGCAGGAGACACTACGTATATCATTTCTAGTAAGCCGGAAGTAATATATGTGCATTTGAGTCAAAACCATACATGTTGTATTATTCAATCTGTGGTGTGATCACAAAGATTCCACAAACAGGTCAGATAAATGCAGTTTGCTAACTCCTTTCTCAGATTCCCTTTGACATTGTGATGAAAATATTTAAGGAAATAGGGCATAACACCATTATGAAGAAAAGTGATTAGAGCATTTTGATCTTACAGCAACAAACATAAACTGAAATTTACAAACAAAAGCATACAAAACACATGCATATAAAACTGTGTGTATATTATCACTAGACTAAAGTGAGAATTGTCATGTTGCAAATCATAATCAGTTAATAGTGGCATTTGAATAAGGAAGGAATTAGAGTATTCATGGCACTTGCAAAAATTAACACAAATGAAGAAAGTCATGTTTGTGATTATGAACATGATGATATATTCTAAAGAAAAATTACAAAAAGTAAGATAGGCCTAAAAATTAGGCCCTAGCTCTATGAACAGTTTATTGACTGTATTACTCTCCATTTCATTATAACATTTGGAGATCTTTAATATGAATTTTGAGGTTATAAAGAATAAACCATCATGTCTCTTATTTTTAGTTTAAATGGCTAATGCTCAGAGACAACAGTTATTGGGTACAAGCAAGAAAATGGCAGCTACAGGACCCAATGTATGTACAAGATCTGGGCAAAGTACATTGTAGGTCTTCTGAAGTTTACATAGAAAAGAACACTATTACGTAAAGATGTGAATAATTCTAACAAAAAGTCTCCAAAAATTTCCTGTATGCAAATTTATTTCCACTTAATATTTAGTTATATTTTATATAGTGTCTGTTTGTTACTGGACGGGACTGCCACTTTCTAATAATTCTCAGTGGCCTCAATCATATTTGCAAATTTCGTGCCTCAGGGTATAAAGTACTAATATTACAGACATTATCTGTCATCCTTGTTTCATAGAAAATACAAATTAGCTGTGTTATTTCAGTGTTTCCTTTCCTCATAGTTTCTAGAGATCATAATATTTAGACTTTTGAATGATAAATATCAATTTTGAAAAGCAGTAAGTGGAAAAATCTGTTTAAGAATGTGAGATTGACTACTTCAATTTTGTAAGAATTTCTAGAATAATTGCCACACTATTCAACTAAATTATGTACAGTTTGACATTTAGTTTGATATTAAGTGAACTGGGGACAGTCTTCTGGTAATTCTTATTCTTGCTTAACATTACATTAAAAAAGTGCAGTAATCGAATGTGACCATATCCTAAAATCTGTTATTTGCTGTAACACTTACTGTCAGTAAGTGTAAATATGTCACAAATGCACACACACAAGCACACACATATGTACACGCACTGAGATAAACAGAAATACACACAGAGAAACTCGCAGACACATGCTGAATGTTTTGTAAATTGAAATTGTTCATCATACCCTCTTTTTCTATATTGAGTATTACTAGATGATAATGTTCATGCATAATACTAATTAGTATGGACTATTTTTGCTCACATATACAATTACACACCAAATATCACCATGGTATGATACGAAAGTTTTATGCATTTTGGAAATGACAAGTAAAATTTGGGATTCAGTTGAAAATAGGAGGATTGCCCCACAGAGTGCTCCCACAAGTCTTGAATAAAAAGAATTCAGATAAAAGGGAAAATATCTATACTTAGTATTCATAATCATATTTGAAGGGTTAAACTTATGTGTACAGGAATACCTTTGCACATATATGTCATGTCATATCATAGTTTAAAAGAGAAGACTTCTAGAGGCAGGGACAATATTAATGTTTAGCAAGCAGTTCTTAAACAAAGTGAAATATGAATGACACCGAGTTTTGAAATATTTCCTTTATTATTACAGATGAAGGAGACAATATATTAAACCAGTGGTTATAACCAAAGATTTCCTCGTATTTAGCAGTAAGAATGTGGATAGAGATGGAATGGAAACACACTTGCTTTTTTCTCTTGGTAAGTATGATAGTGAATTCTCTAAAATAGTAATGAAATTATCACTCTGAAAATGATGATTAGGCCAGATTCAACTCCAAGTACTGTATCTTTGGATTTACACACTGGATTTACACACATTGCATTACACAACTGACAATCCAG